TGTGTGTGTGTGTTATCTGATCCGGATGGTTACTAATTCCTTTTCTTTATGGCGGTCATTTTTGACCGGGAGCACCATGGGTGTTACAAAGTTGACTAAATCATCCAAAGTCCAATGAAAGTGGTGATCAGCCAGTGTATATGTTCAAATGTCTACTATGAAGGATATCATGAAGCCTTAATGCAATCGAATGTAAAACAAAAAAGTTATGATTGATGAAAGTAGTAAATCGGTCAGATTTGACCCGAAGACAACAGGAGGGTGGTCACATGGCTCGAGGTCGTAGTGTTGAACGTCTTTTAATAAAGCAGCCACACTCTGCATGACTGAGAGTGTATTTCAGAACATCAGAAGAGATATTCATTCAAATGGATCCTCTCTGGGCTTTGGCTTTAAAAGGGAGAGCGACTTGAAATGGGATCAAAAACAAAATGTATAGAAGAGTCAGATGTTATGTTGGAGCATCAAGCGCGGAATATTGGAGTCACATTTTTTATATTTATGGTACTAACTCCATGTAGGGACGGCTCAGGAGCACAGTGTTCTGCCAATCACTCGCATGTACAAATCAACCCAACATATCGATTATTCATCATTCAATTATTAATCATCACAATTACAAAGGAGTATTACATGAATCGTGGCCAGACTGAAACATTTAAAGCCTGTGCTGTTCATTAATTGGAAATCATTTCTACTTTTCTTGATTATTTCTACGTTATTTCCACTCAACTACATTTCAGAGGCAAATATGGCACCTTTCATTAATTTAAACATTATATTAGTTACTTCTGACTTATAAAATTACAGGATAATTTGATATATGATATGATGCATGTACTACTAATGTATTTAAAATGTGTTCTACATTGAACAAATACAACATTAAATGTTCTTACATGTATCTGTTAATGATAAAACGGAATATTAGTTATTCTATAATAATATTACGCTGTGAAAGCAGCCATACCAAGTGCTTTTGATACTTAACCTTAAGCGATACTTTTGTGCTTTCATTAAAGTAACTTATCAATTCAGGATTTCTTGTATTTGTTAACATGTGATTGTTGATTTAAGGCGTACACAAGGAAAGCTTTCTTTGTCTTTTATTTATATATGATTACATTTAAAAAAAGATGTTCGTAACATGAATAAAAGTAGATATATATGGACAGTCTAAGTCAATTAATGAAGCATAACACGTATTATTAGACTAGGGATGTCCCGATCACCTTTTTTTGCTCCTGATCCGATTCCGATCATTTCATTTTGACAATTTGCCGATACCGATTTTTCCCGTATCCGATCTTTATGCAATTCATTAAGAG